CAGCCATATACATCCACCAGTGTTTTACGTCCGTGTTGAAAGTAGCCATCATAGGATCAATCTTGTGTTTGGATTTCTATCTGGCATTTTTGAGCCGCCTAAACGCAGTCCTCACAAGTGTTCCATTGTTTGAACGATTACGATCCTCTCGCTTCGTTTGTGACACTTCTGAGAGCAGTAATTTTGTAGGGGTCTATTCGGACATGGTGCTAATCACCGCACTGCCAAAAGGCTGTTGGGGGTTTGTTGAAGGTACCGCTTCTAAGAAGGTTAGTGTATCTGGTTGAGGTCCTATTCGTCATAGCATACACGTTTCTGAAATCAAGAGCTGATCGTTATCCGATCACGGCAGTATCGTGCCTCAGTTCAACAAACGCTGCCACTCAGAAATGAATACCCTTAGGTTTATTGTAGGGTCCTGCCCCACTTTACTGAGTAAGCGGTTATGAACATTTGAGTCTCGAGGCAACTGAAGGTAATAAGCAAATGTCAAACACATGAAATACTCTTTCGGCATTTCCTGTCGGCCAGTGGCTGAGTGGTCTGCATGCATGGCTTACAACCATAAGGTCACCGGTTCGAATCCGCGTAGCGGTGGGCGTCCTCGCGGTATATTCAGTCCACGCGCGACTGTTGGTGGTCGCGTGGCAGGGAAACGTCGTTACTGCATACAGCTGACGATTTATTATTAATTATTATTATTATTATCGGTGGTCAAACACGAACAACTTCTTAATGTCCATAGCATTCAGTGGTCACCCTTCTCATATAGACAGTAATGCCGACCGTGACTAGGAGGTTCACATTTCGCCTTCAATCAAACTTTCACTCCATCGTTGTCATAGATGGATATAGCTTTAAAAGCCACAAAAGCCTTATCAAAGCGTAGTGGCCGCTTCAGTGAAACAAGCACTAGAGATGGTGTATCGCCTAAGTTCTGTAACAGAACTTAACGCTCCAACTCATGAAGTGGTATGTCACGCCTTACTCAGAAACGCGTGCACAGCAGCTGGATCAAGCGCGCAGAATAATCATGACAGTTTATGTTACTCGTAAGTCGCAAGATTCTAGTTGAAATTTTAAGGTATTCATCCCAATAGTTCACAAGCTACCTAGGCTAGGCTACATACTTTGAAAGCTAACACCACCTGTCTTCCACTGTCACAGACAGTGGCTAGTCTGCGAGGTAATGACGTCCTCTCGCTAGACACTGTATCCATAGCATTTGGAACAAGGTGAAGCTATGTATAGTATATTACTAGTAAGCAGCGGGATGTTAGCTGTAATTATAAGGTATTCATCCCAGTAGTTCACAAGCTACATAGGCTGGTCTACATAATTTGCAAACTAACTGGAATATAACACCGCCGATCTTCTGTTGTCATAGACATTGGTTATCCCGCGGGGTGATAAAGTCCCCTCGCTAGACGATATAGCATTTGAAACTAGGCGAGGCTATTTATTTTATACTACTCGTAAGTAGCAGCCTACGTGGCTAGTGAACCACTGGGATGAATACCTTAAAAGGACAGTTAGTTGTCCAACACAACCTCTGCACGACTACGACTTAAGTGGACCGGGCGCAAAAATGCGATGGATACAAGCACCATGACAATAAGAATTAACAAGGTGAGAGTGCGGAAATTCAACAAAAGGGAGTTAGGAACAGAGGTAAGTAAAAGTAGCAAGATGGGAATACTAACGGACAAAAGCAAAAGAATGAATGAGGGGAAGCCATTGACTCAGCAGTAGCCATATGTTGTATAAGATCTTCATCCACTGTTATGATCCATCTCGAGGCCCCCATTCAAGAAGGCAGCACATACAAACTTGATCAAGTCCCCCGGTCGGCCGTAAGCTTGTTGAGCCAGACTGGTAAGTCATCAATTTGATTATGAGGGGCACTTACCGAAAAGGTGGTGGCTAAGTGTCGGCGCAGTTAAAAGATAAGGTTTGTAGCCTTACCGGTAAATCTATTGCGAAAGTGAAGTTGAGGTAGTTACGTGTGTTGTATCGTTGCCGCATTTGGGCCACACTTGTACAGCTGAACGTGTTACCGCATTCACAACGTTTGCTCTCGTGTGATAAGCCAGCTGGATGATCAGGACGTGAACGCTGACAAAGTGCCGTCTCATTCGATGCCACATTCTAGGTCACTGGATCCAGGGAACTGCTAATGATTACGGTGGAGGGGAACGGTCTCTAGAACCAATGCGCTGCTCAATGTTTTTATCATGAAATGAGGTTAGGGTCCAGCCTTCGTCAAGTAAGCCTTCTGATCACCGTCTGGAAAGAAAGTAGCCACAAATGTTATGTCAGTGAGGTGCGTGCCGGCTCCGAATAAACTATGGTTCACGTCCGCGCAAGGGTTTGCTTCTTTGGGTCTATATCTGACAAGAAATGCGCGTGTGGTGCAGCGCAAGCCAGCCATGCATCCAGTAGGCACAGATGTCATGTGAATCTTCGCGGTCACACTGATAGACAAATCCGGAAACGGATGCCGTCAACTATTCTAAGTAAACATCTGACCTTGTAGACAGAAAAGTTATGAAAAGATGACTTCGTTAACTAGGGAGATATTGATGATGATGTGCGCCCGATTTGTGCCCCTCAAATTTCGGAAAGTTGGGCCCGTCAAACCACATTGGTTTGACAAAGAGTACAACAAAATGGCCCGACGGCGACGTAGACTATGGAACAAGTTCGTGTTATCTGGCTCTGATGAGGACTACAGTGCCTACAAGGTACAACAAAATCGCTGCAACAACGCGAAAACAAGAAAACGCAGAAGCTTCGAAGAGGAGTTTGCAACTGCCGCAAAAACTGCTCCCAAGAGGATCTTCGCATATGTGAAGCGGCGCCTAAGACCTATAGCTAGTATTCCAGTGTTAGAAGGCTCAGAAGGACAGCCTCTAACCTCGAGTACTGATCGTGCGTCAGCATTGGCAACGCACTTCGCCTCCGTATTCGCAAGTGACCAGATGTCTGTAATGAGTTCGACGAGCACCGCTCCAGCCGAACTTAACAGCCTGGACTGCAATATTGAGGATGTACGCAAGATTCTAGCAAATCTTGACGGGACGAAACCTGCTGGGCCAGATGGTATACACCCTCTAATCCTCAAGTCATTATCGACCATAATTGCACCTTCTGTAACTGAACTGTTTAACAGGTCACTATCCACTGGTCTACTACCGGACGACTGGAAATGCTCAGTCGTAAAGCCTATCCCGAAAGGTGGTAACCCAAGCAAAGTGGATAACTACCGGCCGATCTGCCTGACGGCAGTTTTGGCAAAGACGCTCGAGAAGATCGTGAAGAAGAGCCTTCTGCAACTTCTCGAGTCGAAAAACCTGTTAACCTCCGCACAGCATGGTTTCCTGAAAGGTCGTTCGTGCATCACCAACCTACTGTTGACGAGGCACGAATGGTTACAAGCACTGAACAAAGGAAAATCGGTTGACGTCATTTACATTGACTTCAGTAAGGCTTTTGACAAGGTTAACCATGCAGTGCTCCTTGACAGACTGAGGATGTGCGGTGTTGGTGGTTCGCTGCACAAATGGATCAGCAATTTCCTTATTGATCGGAAGTGGAGAGTCCAGGTGGACAACCATCTAACAGACTGGTATCCATCGAGCAGCGGCGTGCCCCAAGGCACTGTACTGGGCCCGATATTGTTTCTAATCCATATAAACGATGTGCCTCAGCTACTACAATCACACTGCTTTGTTCGCAGATGACTTGAAAGTGTGGAGAGTAATCCGCACACTCAATGATTGCGATTTACTTCAGCAGGATCTCGACCGCCTCTCAACATGGTCTGCAGAGGTTAACCTTCCGATCAACCCTGCCAAGTCGCAATTCATGAGGTTGGGTAAGTGTGATCACGGCCGAACGTACACAGTGGCTGGACAACCATTACATCCCGCTCCTTTCGTGCGCGACCTCGGTGTACTCTCACGCTGCGACCTAAAGTCCATTGACAACACGAATAGGCTGTACCAAAACAGCCTTCGTATGCTTTGGGCTCTCAGGCGCAGCTTTAGCACTTGGTCCGAAGAGATTGCCACTCGCCTCTTCGTCTCGATAATACGACCAATGCTAGAGTACGGCACTCCCGCATACTGTCCCATCACCCGGGGTGAAGTAGAAAAGCTTGAGCGGGTGCAGCATGTAGCCACTAGGCTGATTCCCAACTTACGAGGTATGCCATACGAAGACCGATGTAAGAAACTAGGGTTATACACCCTATCTTATCGTCGGCTAAGGGTTGACCTCATCATGACGCACCGAATATTACATCTGGGTGATTACCCCATGTTGAGACAACTACTTCATCTGCGCACACCAAGCTGCACGCGAGGACACCGGTATAAACTTATCGTCCCGGATTTGAAGCGGGTCGCCCATCAACTCTGTTTCGAACGAAGAGTGGTGAATGTCTGGAACGACCTGCCTCAGCATATAGTAGAAGCGAACACAGTGGCTAAATTCAAGATGCTACTAGACAAACAATTTGCAGAGGCAAAGTACAAAGAGCGAAACGATAAATAAAAAGTTCATGTCCGAAAACGACGAATGATGCAGCTACACAGAGCAAACTCTACTCGCTGCTTCGCACCAGTTCTCAGTTCACCAGTTCTCAGTTCTCAGTATCTAGTTAGTTGACTACCGTTTTGACAGAAAAAGTGGCCCAACTCCACATTGAAGGACATGTTCAGGTACAACATGTTGAAAAATGCGTGGAATCGATCGAGAACTCATAATTTCAGAAAGGACTGAAAACAATCGGTCGGCAGAATTTGTAGGCTTATACCAACCGGTTATTTTTAAACCCTTCTGAAATCATATCTTTAAATTGGTCTCCAGTTGTACAGACCGGGACGCTTTACACCAGCGTAGTGTGAACGAGAAAGCATTGTCAAGCGCAGTGCGTTGGAGTCTGAAGAAATGGAAAAAGCAAAAGAATCAAGGAACACTGTCCGAATGAAACATACCGGTAGCAGTGAGGAATGGGAGATAGTCGAATCAGGTAGCTCGGTGATAAGAAACCCTCGAGGTGAAGATCTTGTGGGGGAATGGGAATTACCGAAGTCAACCGATGGAGTCGAGGACGATATCAAGTGGTAAGCTGTGGAGGCGAAACTGCAAGCACTGATAGCAAGAAGGCCGACAGTAGAATACAAGGCCGGTACTCGTGTATAAGTTGGGTTTGCACGAGCGATGTCTTCGGTACCCAACAGCGAAGTACGATCGGAGGCTGTTGCACTCTCAAGAATAGGAAGAGGATCACTTTCCTCTAGGGTCACTTCGCCATGGCCCAAGGCATGTGAGACAACTAAAAAGTAAGAACATAACGCAAATACTGCAATGCAGAGATCAGACGCAAAAAATGAAGGAAACGGATGTCTTAGAAGTCAGACAAAAACATGAAGGAGGCACTGGCTACCAAGAAATCAATTGATTTAATAAGATAGAATAGGGAGGCGAACAAGATACGTGCTGCAATATCAAATGAGTGATTTCAAATTAATAAATTGGAAACAAGAAACGCATTATAATTACAAAAACCAGACGCCGTCATTTCGTGTATTTTACCAAGCAAACACACGCAACGAATAACAGGCCGAAAGAGACAAGGACAAGTGAGATCGGTTGGTGGCCAAGTGGTGCACATCGCGCTACCAATTTCGCAATCAACCGTGTTCGTACGTGTTGCGGAGCTCGCATAGCATTGCGAAATTTGCAAAATTAGGATCAGCTCACTTCAGCAATACTGTTACCATGCAGATTTCAATTGCGCGGTAACAGTTGAGATCTCATGGAAACCGATGGTGCGTCAACCTAAACAACACAGACTCTATCTATACCTTTTACGAGTCAATTGAATCCACAATAGAATCAAACTCCTCCTTAAGAATATTCAACTGAATCCACAAGCACATCAAGTTGAATCTAATGCGTGACCATCGTCTTGACCAATTGAAAATGATGAGGTTAGCATCAGCATATGCACAGCAATGCATGATGTACTGCACCGCGTTAATTGTGATGTTACCGGGTTGGTAACATCTTGCCTTTACTGGTCTATATGCAATCGTTAGTATATTGCAGCCGTTGACAGGGTGAATGAATACGTTTGTAAAGAATCGTCATGAGCTCGCGTGAAACGATGATCTATGTTAACGTAAGCGCACTCCTCACCAAGGTGCCGAAATGCGACGCACTGGGTATGGTGACACGCTGTTTGACTGAAGAGATTAACCTACGGAGTAACCGAAGCTTAAGGTGGTTGAAACAACCGAGAGTAAGACATTGCGCCGTATACTGTTCTAGCTCGGGTTTCAGTCGGAAGCAGGCACTCAACAACATGGCGTCACCATTAGATCGTCAATGTCCATTATTTTGTACATCATACTGGCAAACTCGAGTAAATGGCCAAAAGTTGTTGGTAGCAAGTGGATGGCACATTTTGAACATAAAGGTGGATAAGAAAAGCTAGTTTGTGAGGAATCTGAAGTCGCTCACTATGGAGTGGCACAGCACCATTCCTTGACTGCTCTGTTTGCTTCCAAATTCGCTTCCAAATCGATCGTCAACCGGCGGACACAGATGGGACACAGCAGTACAATTCCGATCTCTGGGTTTCACAGAGATAAGGCCATGTGCACAGAGAAGGAAGTTGGGAACGTCGCTTGCAAGTAGACAGTGATGTAATTGCTGAATAGTGGACATCAGATACTCATTTAAGAGTTTCAATGAATCACGGGCAATGCTGATCTTCAGCAAAGCAAAGATTCCCATTTCATTAATATGAATTAATATCAGAAATCATTTCAGGGTAAAGAATTCTTTTCGGTAAGTCTCATCAGACCCAAACTTTTACATAACAGGGAGTGTGGAGATAGCGTCAACTGGGGCTGGGATTGACTTCTTGACTGTTTGAATGACCAAAATCGATAACTTGAGACAGAGATAGAGGTGGTAGACCAAGTAAACTACATAAACATGTGTACACAAGGCTCATTAGTACAAGGTAATTAATTAGGTAGGTGTGATGGTATGACACTACATTTAGACGCCCGTTGCATAGCGATCGGTCGAGCTTAACGATTTTGGGTCAACGGTCTGAAAGCTGGTCAATCGCTGCAGAGGCGAACTGAAGGTTAGCATGCAATCGATTTCTATCGACATTGAACGAAACTCGAACGCTGGCTGAGAATGTAATAGAAAGGAGATTTGTTTTGCGAATGATTCTAATGGACTCGAGATATAAAATGAGTTTGCGTTCTATGAATAATGAATTTCTGATCGAGGCCCAGACTTTGACTTTTTGATGCACTGAGGGCCACTTTACATGGTGACAGAGGTGGGATAAGAAGACACGCCGAACCCCGCATGCGTTTGGTGGACAACCAACGATTCCGCTGCCAGCTCCGTTGCAAATGACCGAGAGTTCGTTGCCGGAGAATTGGAGAATATGGAAGGCGAAGTGGCTAGACTTTGTAACACTGACTCAGTTGGATTCTCAGCCAATGGCCTATCAACTGGCGATGTTCAGGCATGCCATTGGAGACGAAGCCAGGCGGACGCTGCAAACGTTGGATCTCAGCGATGGAACTCAGGAGATGGAGCTGGATGAAGTAATACGCAGATTCGGCGAGTTTTGCGAAGGTTACACAAACGAAACTTACCAAAGGTATCTGTTTTTCAGCCGAAATCGCCTGCCGGGTGAATCAATCGACGCATACATCACGGAGCTGAAAATTCTGGCGCGGGATTGCAATTTTTGCACCTGTTTACGAGATTCGCTGATCCGCGATCGAATTATAATTGGCATAAAGAATGAGGAACTTTCCAGACGCCTTTTGCGACAGCGAAACCTGTCTTTGGAACATTGCATCGATATCTGTTTTAGCGAATCAAGGACGGCTCAACAGTTTCAGCAGCTCAAGATGGAGTCCACGACGGATCTGTTTGCAGTATCCCGAGGCCGAGAAATTGTATCGAAGTCATCGAGCGCGAATCAACCCAAATGCCAGTTTTGCGGCCGCTCACACCCAAGGCGCAAAGAGGATTGTCCAGCATGGGGCCGAACCTGTATGAAGTGTGCGAAGAAGAACCACTTTGCACGTTGTTGTCAGGCAACCAAAGTCGACTCAGTCGGGCAGGACGATCAGGAAGAGCCGCAGGAACTGGCTATTAACAACATGACAGGACGTGAGAGACCAGCCTGTGTATTCGCAACGTTGCTTATTCAAGGGCGTCCGGTGCGATTCCAATTGGATTCAGGAGCAAGCGTGAACATACTTCCTCACAAATACTGTCCCGATGCAGAATACCGCCAAATACAGACACAGCTCAGAATGTGGAACGGATCAAAGTTACAACCGAAGGGCTGCGTTACCATGAAGGCCATAAACCCGAAGGATGGCTCCGAGCATTTACTTGATTTTCTCCTGGTATCAGGAGATTTAATGCCCATCCTGGGCCTTGATTCCATTCAGAGTTTGGGTTTTGTTTCTTTTAATCATGATCGTTTTGTTCACTCGTGCGAAGTCGGTACAGAGATCGTAGACAACTATCCCAGTGTGTTTGATGGTACCGTGGGAAAATTCCACGGCGTAGCTCACCTGTCGTTAAACGAGTCCGCTAGACCAGTAGCACTACCAGCGAGAAAAGTACCTATCGCTTTGCGTGAGAAGTTCTTAGACGAGTTGCAGCGTTTGATCAGTTTAGGTGTGATTGCCAAGGTCGATGAGCCAACCGATTGGGTCAGTCAAGTCGCGATAATCACCAAGAAGTCAGGCGATTTGCGTGTGTGCATCGACCCTAAGCCGCTCAACGCCGCACTCAGGAGAGAGTATTTTACACTACCAACGCTAGATGACGTCTTACCCGAGTTGTCCAAGGCCAGATTGTTCACGAAGGTCGACCTCGCTTCCGCTTTCTGGCACGTCCAGCTTGACGAAGAGTCCAGTTATTTAACCACGTTCGGAACGCCATTTGGACGGTTTCGGTGGTTGCGCTTACCATTCGGTTTGAAAGTGTCCAGTGAAATTTTTCAGAAACGATTAATGCAGGCCCTAGACGATCTACCCGGAGCTATTTGTGTAGCAGACGATGTAGTGGTTTTTGGGGCGACTCTGGAAGAGCACGACCGTAACCTGAGCAGATTTCTAGAACGCTGTAAAGACAAGAATATCAGATTGAAACGTGAGAAAATTGAGTTACGAAAAACAGAGCTGGTGTTCCACGGACATATTTTGAGCGCAGAAGGTCTAAAGCCAGATCCGGAGAAAGTTAGAGCCATAAAAGAGATGCCACCTCCGACAGATGTTAAAGCCGTGAGCAGACTAAACGGGATGGTGAATTACCTCAGCCGCTTCCTTCCACGACTAGCCGAAGTAATGGTTCCTATCCGAAAACTTACACATAAGGGCGAGAGCTGGCAGTGGAACACAGAACAGGAGGAGGCTTTCCAGAACATCAAACAACTGATCGCGTGCGCCCCTGTCCTAGCGTATTACGATCCGTCACTTCCCCTTGAGATCCAGTGTGACAGCAGCCAATTCGGTATCGGTGCCGTGCTAATGCAGAACGGGAAGCCCATCGATTTTCGCAGTCGGACACTAACGGAATCCGAGCGCCGTTATGCACAGATTGAAAAGGAGATGCTAGCATTGGTTTATGCCGTAGAGCGTTTCAACGATTACACTTTTGGTCGCCGGACCACTGTATTTACCGATCACAAGCCTCTGGTATCAATAGCCAATAAACCACTGCACGTCGTCCCACGCCGCTTACAACGAATGCTCATTCGGCTCCAGAAGTACGACCTAGACATCGTCTACCAACCGGGGTCGAGGATGTACATTGCAGACACACTGTCTAGGGCATATCTTTCCGATGTGACCGCAACGCAAGAAGACCAAGACATTGTCCATGTCACTCAGCTATTGGCCGTCACAGAGGAGCGTTTCCAGCAACTACTACGCCACACGGAAGCAGACGAGCTGTGTAATCGGCTCAAGGAAACGATACTGAAAGGGTGGCCCGATAGTAAAAACAAGCTGCCAAAGGAGTTGACTCCCTTCTTTAACTTTCGGGATGAACTTGTCACACAGGATGGGCTAATCTTCAAAGGCAACCGTATACTCGTTCCAAAGGCAATGCAACGACCCATGCTGGAGCTGATACACGGAAGTCATTCAGGAGTCAATGCTTGCGTGGCGAGAGCTCGAGAGCTAATGTTTTGGCCTGGGATGACTAGTCAGATACGGGATCACGTTTCAAACTGCTTAGCCTGTCGAGCACATGATGTCCGCCAGCCGAAGG